CTCTCTCTCTCTCTCTCTCTCTCTCTCTCTCTCTCTCTCTCTCTCTCTCTCAACCGCTTCTGCGCTTAAAACACATTTTGAACCCCTTTTCAGTGAATATCATTAAAAATATTTCGCATTTCTTATGCAATGCTTACGTTTGGTTATACTTAATATTCTCTGATATGTTATAGAAATCAGAGTACATATACTCTACGCATACAATATGTATAATATTCTAATAATAAATAAATAATTATTCAATCAAATAGTAATTAATATTATTTGTATAACTTTATCCATTTGTCTATAAAGTACAGTAATTGCGAGTTTTTCATAACTTTTAAACATTTTGTATTGAGACGTAAAAATGTTTTATTTAAAATTGTAATTAATTTTTTACACAATTACTTCATTTGATCCAAAGATATGGCACAACAGATGAAACACTTGAAAACATCACTCGAGATTAGAGATGACGGCAATGAAGACAACAGACAACAGGTATTTCACAAAAAATTCACTGTTTATTGAGTTTTAATTATTTTTGCCTCACATTTTATACGAAGAACTCAATGGACAGATTCGGCGACAATTTGTGTGCACTTCTATTGTCTTATCTCTCACTCGAAGATCGGTTTCGATTGGAATGTGTGTCCAAACAGTTCCAGAGGACTGTCTTTTTAAATGTTATGAGCATTCATATCAACGAAGAGTTTGTTAATAAATTAATGTATGAGAAAATAATTGATACCAAAATATTTACCACAATTGCCAAAAAGTGCCCAAACATTCAAATCATTGACTTTCGAGAAATAAGTTCCAGATATGAGACACACATTCCCGAAGTGTTGAACACATTTCGAGACAATTGCTGGCATTTAAGAGATATTTATTATGATTTACAATCAAATAGCAGTCAATTACTCAAACGCTTCGGACCTCTGGTCACACGAGTCTCTTATATATCATTTAAAAGGAAAAAACCACTCATTCTCTGCCACCGATTGTCTCATTTAAAAGCCGATCACTTGTCTGTTGTCTTCAACAGTACTTCCGGACTATTGGCGAAAAATTTGCAAAAAATTGAATTAAATTCTATTAAAGGCAAAGAACTTTTGTCTGAATTCGTGGCACAGAATCAGTCCCTCCGATGTCTTGTCGTAAAAAACATTTATAATATGAGCGAAATGTGCGGACAATTGTCACGATTAACACAATTACGAGAATTAAGTCTCGGAATACAGATATTTGAAAGTCATGTCAAAGTCTCCCCCGCTTTGCGTAAAATTGGTGTAAATTGCAAACAATTGAAACGATTGTCACTCGTATTGAACATAAAGTCCAAGTATTTGAATGACAAGACATTGAATTCGTTGAAAGTTTATTCCCGATTAAAACGATTGCATTTAACACTCTTTGTGGCCATCGATGAGAACTCTTTGGAACCGTTGAAACTCTGCCACCGATTAACACATTTGACGCTTGATTTGAATGAAATTACAGATAAAATATTGATTAAGTTCGACAAACAGTGGCCACGACTTCAATACTTATGCATTCATAGAGAAAATAACACGATTGACACCAAGTATTTGGATAACATCTCAAGACTACCGGCGCTGCAAACGCTTGTCATTCACTGCCGTTATTATAATAATTGCAGCGATAATGATATCGAAAACCTGTTCCCCGAAAGACCTAAACTCAAACTCATTGAAATCTATGTAAACAATGTCTTAAAGATTTATTGTCGTAAAAATATTTTAAATTCTAATTACTGTTTGAATAACCCTTCGTTTACCCCCTTTGGTATCCGTGATCTGATCCCTGAATGCCTGTCCTCTTATTAACCCTATGATCGTCGCTAACATTCATAACTTATAAACTATTAGAATATTACATTATATTTCTTGTTATTTACAATTATCAATACAATTGTCTCGTAAGTTATAATCATTTTTCTGATCAAAAGTAAAATAATTTAATTTTTTATATTTATTCATGGATTTCTATCGAATAAGAATCAGTAAATTTTTATTTCAATTACTTTA